TAAAAATATCACAATGAAAAAACAAGTTTTAAAACCAAGAAAAAGCACTGCTCCACGACTAAACAAGATTTGCTACGTGATGCTTATAAAATTGCCTGCAGAATGGAAAGACTTATTACTCAAATTTGTTCAATTTAATTTTTAACAAATAGGCCGCGAGCCGAGGCCATTTATCTTTCAGTTTCGTAGCGCACATAAGGTAACTACCTGAAAATGATTTTAAAATATTCCTTAGAAATTTAGTAACAAATATTGCCTTGTTCCCACTTACAAAAGTTGCACGTTTTACAGAAAAGACGCTTTTACTACAATAAATATGTGTTACCATCTGTCCTATTTTCTCTGCTTTTTCGGTATCATGGGCTAATGAACGCAGACTTCTGCATGACGTGACAATCAAATTAGTCAGTTGTTGGTGAATCCCCAGTGGTCGGATGAATATCAGATGTACTACTACTGCTCGCTTTTGCGTTGAGTAGCCTTTCCATAGTTTTTTTTTTTTTTTTCAGTTATTATTAGTTCAGTTATTCTAAGGAGGTGTTGAAAAGTATAAGTAAGATATTAAACACTTGTATATCCTTACCATAAATGTCAATTTTAGTTGAGCACTAGCTCATAAGACGTTGTTAAATAGGTACGGCGCGGTAACTCCAAGGAAGGCTAGACCTAATAATATGTCACAAACAACGATATTTTCTGGCTTGCATGAAATGTTTATGATTAATTTAATGACTCTTCTTGACTATTCAGCAGACTTATACTACTATATAGGCCACAGCATGATTGTAAATAGAAGTTAATGGCTGTTTCTGTAATGCACGGTTGTGTGAAAGAGAAGAAAATAATCAATTTTACTAATGTCGGTTGGTCTAAATCTGAATTCATAGAGTCGACAAGAACCTGGGAAGCAATGATACGGTAAGTTATGCCGGAGTGGAAAGAAAGTAGCATTGGAAACGATTGAGAGGTAAGAAATCAAGTTGTAGACAGACAGTTGATGTTTTAAAATATAGTCTAAGCCTATAGTCCATACCCATACTGTCATAGGGCATTTCAGACTGTGATATATCAAAATTTAGTGTAGATATAGTCTAGTAATGGTATGCAAACACTGCTGGACTGTAGTACATACGCTCATTGAGTACATCAGATAAAATGCATTACGGTATGTATTCGAGGTATTAGTTAGTATTTAGTGGTATTTTTCACTCCTGCTGTTCCAAATATTATTTTCGTCCTCATTTTAGATACTGTACTACAAACGAAGACGGCAATGTTCCACCAATCCGACCTAACGCAGGCTCTAATCCCTGCTAATATCAGTGCTATAAAATGGATTAAACATAACCACATAAACTAAAAAAAGACTAATTGTAATATTTCTGTTTACTATGTTATGTACATATTGTACATTCATTTAATTTTCTTGACTTTTCTGGTAAATTTCTAAGTGAGAAATAACTGATTTATTTGTGTTTTCGTGCTCACAATGTAAATTTGTGACTTCATTGCTTAAAAAAAATACGTTCGATAGCTTCTGTAAAATGGATGTAGCTTTTTATGCTGTTCTTGTTGTAAACTGCTTGTGGTTATTACCTAAAATTTATTCGCTAATGTGAATCAGCGTTGTTAGTGTCGCTGCTTCCGAGGTCACTCGCGACTCCTATCACACAATTAAAGTATTTTTTGTTGTTGGTTACATATATGCCATATTTTTTGTAATCTACCTAATAAATTATGATTGACTGTGGAAGTCCGATTTTGGTCAGGCAAAACATTACAGGAATACATTTGTGTTAGTGTGCTGTAGAGCTCTCGAATTGCATAGTTCTATGTGTTGTGAACTTATGGTTATTAAATTTCCGGGAACCTCTTATATTCAATTTCGCATCAGGATTGTGGAACAAGCTGTGATGCGTTCAGTATGTTCATTTTCACACAAAACTGAAGAATTTATTTAGTTACCAGATGTGCGATACGAAACTCATTTTCTGGGCGATTTCAAGGCTTCGTCTCACGGCCCATATTCGTGGTAAGGATCTAGAAGTGTTTAATAATTTACTTATACATTTTTCAACAACGTCTTAGCATAACTTAACTAATAATAACTAAACAGAACTATGGAAAGGCAGCCCAACTCAACGCAAGGTCGAGCAGTAATAACTAATATTCATCCGCTCGCTAACAGCTGATTCGATTCAATTGTTACGTCATGCAGAAGTCATTGTTCATTGTCGAAAATGCAGAAAATATAGGACAGATCATAGCACAGATTTCTTGTAGTAAAAGCGTCTTTTCCGTAAAACGTGCAACTTTTGGAAGTGGGAACAAGACAATATTTGTTACTAAATTTTTTTAAGGAACATTTTAAAATCATTTTCAGGTAGTTACCTGATGTGCGCTACGAAATTCACTTTCTAGTCGTTTTTCATGGCCTCGGCTCGCGGCCTAAAAGGGAGTATTCCAGATGCCTGGAAACGCTCTGTTGTAATTCCGATTCTTAAATTCAACAAACAAAAAACACCAACCATCTTCATATAGGCCTATATATTTCAAACATACAATTTATGTAAGGTCTTGTAAAGAATTATAGTTCGCAGACTGAAGTGATTTGTTGAGAAAAATGACACATTATGTAGAGAACAGAGCGGTTTTAGGTGAAGGAAATCTACGACTGATGCATATCTTAAATTACACGATGACATATATAAAGCTTTACCAAATAAAAGATCTGTACTTTTTCCTAGACACGGAAAAAGCTTATGAAATGGTAGGAAAAAGAGGACTGTTATACAAACTATATAACATTGGTGTCACGGGGAAAATTTGGCTTTTCGTTGCATCTTTTCTGACAAATCGTTCATTTCAGGTTAGAGTAGGCAGTCGTCTTTCAAATATTTTCTCATTAGAAAACAGAATTTCTCAAGGGAGCGTAATCAGTCCACTGCTTTTCAATATAATGAGAAACGATATGCTTAGTACTATTTCATCAGATAATGTTGGATTGTTTGCAGACGATAGCGCTCTATTGGGCTCAAATCTGAAGATTCAATCATTTTCTCTCAGAACTCATTGGATTGTCGCCAAACTTCTTTATCGCTTAATCTTAACGTGTTCGCAAAGCACCCACTTTCTCGTTAAAGGTAAAAGGCAAAAATGGTATTCTCGAAGTATCGTTAATATTCGAGAGAAATGATTCGAGAGAATTTTTTGCGCGCCAAAACAGACGTCTTGTAAAGATATATGTTCAATACATTACTGGCCTAAGACAAGTAGGCGCGACATGCATCCCAACAAATAATGTGGTGTTTGCATAATTCGTGAAAATTTGGTATGAAAAATCATTAAAATGCCTAACTTAGAGAAGAGTGACTGTAGTCTAGTAGCTGTAGACCCTCCTATATACGCCAACAAAAACACCGTACAAACATCAAATATGGTATTACATATTCATCTATTTTATTGTCTGTTACAGAAGTAGTTCCACAATATGTATCTCAAAATTTATTTCATTTATCCATAGATTACTGCTATATACCCTGAATTTTGAATCACAGGCTGCAAAAAGTAGAACAGAGATCGTTGCAAAATAGGATTATACGCGCCGGGTGGCTAGTGGCAGTGAATGATACGGTTGAGCGATCATACGGTGGTTTTTGTTCAACCGTGCGTAAGATTTTGAGAGAACTTGTGTGATCGTGCGTAAGGTTTTTACGAGATGTTTCGTGAATCACACTTAACGAGATTTCGTAACTGCGTTTTTGAGAGACAAGGTCACGTGCTCGTAAACGCGGCTTTTTAAGAAGTTTGGCGAATGGGGCTCCAATGGGGTTTTAAGATCTCGGTCACAAGATCAATAGTTGTACTCTTCACCCGAAAAAGATAATTACCACCAATACAACTACACATAAACGGAGTAATACTACCGGTCAGGAATGATGTAAAATACCTCGGAGTCTATTTCGATAGGCGATTAAATTATAAGAGACATATCGGATATGTTGTACAAAAATGCAGTAAACGGATTAATCCGCTACGTTTGCTTATTGGAACCAGCTGGAGAGCTAACAAATCACCCCTTTTGTTATTGTACAGATCCTTGGTTCGACCCATTATTGGACACGTTTAGTGGCCATAACGATCGTTTCAAAATTTTGTTGTTATTGGACACGTTTAGTGGCCATAACGATTGTTTCAAAATTTTGTTGTTATTGGACACGAAGTGGACATAACGATCGTTTCAATATTATGTTGTTGTTCTTGTTCTTTGACACGTTTTTAAAAAGTCGCTTTTCTTTTCGAATACTGGACCAATTGCTTTGAAATTTTCAGTGGTTGAAGATAAAATTTTTCTCCAGAAGGCTATTACTTTTATTTATTTTAAAATTTGCCTGTGGACTTCGAGAGATTCGTTTTTTGTGTTCAAAGAAGTGATCAGAATAAAAAATAGTGACACCTTGTGGCGATTGCGCGAAGGCATATCAACTGAGAAGCGATCGTAATTCTTGCTCCGCTAAGAGTTGTTTATGGGGAATCGAGATGTTTGGGGTTACCGGTACCCGCAATGAAAGGTTTTTGAGGTTAAGTTAAACTACCGGTACTGTTTCGCTCGGTGTTCAATCAATCAATCAATGTTCACTTTCCATATATTTCAGTATTTGTAGACTGTGGTTCCCGTGTTAAGCGAAAGTGATACCGGTACCCTGGTACCGGTACGATAGCTGGGAAAGCTATGACAGTCCCTGTGGCCTGTACGGCACGTACCGTCTTACCGGTACCGTAGTCCGTTACGGTACGTACCGGTACAGCTGTACAGGTACGATATCGGTAGACTAGTACAGTATTACTGTACTAGTTGCATTAATTATATTTGTTTACTTTAGAGTGTGTGCCTGCATTGAAATTAAGTTTTTGTAATTAGCCAGCATGTCTGCACAGCTGCTATGCCTTTCTAATTTTTCGCTGTTTCGTTACATTTTTTTGGAAACAACATTTGCATAAATACGTATGGTACCGTATGCAGAGGAAGAAACTTCACAAAAATTTCAACATGTGCAGCAGGTTAGTGTACATAAATCAGTAAATACAGAAATATGCAGAGGAAGAGACTTTACAAAAAGGATAAGATTTACATAATTATCCCGATGGAGAGGAAAGCCTATAGAACGGCTTAACCATATTGCGAACCACAGCCTCTTGTCTGGTTACCGGTAAGGTACCATTCCAAGTCTGGTATGGCTGTATGGGATTAGTTAGGTATATTGTTCAGTTTTATCAAATATAAATTGATCGATAGCCTACTCACCTATTTTAAAAATCAAATTGTTGCAATTTGCAGATGTGAGAATGAAATATATGACCACTGTACAGTCAATGACGTAGGTATGTGCCAAATCATATCAAGTTTATTTACATGTTTACTCTTACTGCATTTGCAGTCAAATTAACTTATTCCATTTTTTTGTACGCTTGCACAGCTGCAATGTTTATGCTCTTCTTTTAGCCTTTTTTCATTACAGTTCTGCGGTAAACAACATCAATATGCTAATAAAGAAGCATTACAATCTTTCCAATAGTGTTCAACATGTTATGAAATATGGTGGTCGCGGTTTCATCAATGCAAAAAATATTTGCCGGTTTAACAGCGTGATGCAATTATTGCAAATAGTTTTCGTGTCCATATATTTGAGCATTGCTCTCTTGTTGTTATTGTTATTTGTCTCCGTCTCCATTTTTAAAAAATCGCTTTTCTCTTCGAATACAGGACCAATTGCTTTGATATTTTCAGTGGTTAAAGATAAAATTTTTCTCCAGAAGGCTATTACTTTTTTTTTCGCTATGGCGTCATCAAAATTATTGCCACTGGGTGGCGCTACGTGTCCATATATTTGAGCATAGCTCTCTTGTTGAATATGGTATGGAAGCGTATTTTTCAACATCAATATATGACATAAGAAAAATCGAAATTATCCAATCTCAATGTTTACGCATCGCTGCAGGTGGCATGATGAGTACGCCTAAACTTGCTTTACAAGTTTGTTGTTACGAGATGCCGTTGAGTATACGACGTCTACAATTATGGCTCTTATATAAAGCTAAACTGCTAACATTTGTTGACCATCCTTGCCACGAAGTCATCGAACACTCATGGCATGAGATATTTCCCAACTCTCCAACATTTCGTATATTTGGTGTGATTGCAAGGACTTTCGATATTGACAAATTGGACATCAGTATTATTGAAAACGAAGAAATTCCTCCATGGTATTTGGATGAAATTAACATCAACGATACATTATCGAATATACTTTTTGCTGCGGTTTATGTTTCATATGATAATTCTCGTATGGGTTTTAGGCTTACTTACTTATCACTTACTTGATCATGTTATAAATAATAACTCGGATAAAATTAGTAATATATCTTCAAATATTCAGACTTGTCTTTTTAAGTTACAGGAACAAGGATGCAAAATCACATTACTATGGGCTCCAGGGCATGTTGTCATTCCGGGTAATGATATCGCCGACAAAATAGCAAGGTATCAGCGGCGAAAGTCGATGTGGACAAAGGATTATCTTAATCACAAAACGAAATCAATTCCCAAATTTGACAATTCTGCGCTAATAAATGGGATCAACATTTTATACACAGTGACCAAGCGTTTTATTATAATTATAAGACAATTTTCCCCGCAATTGAAGACAGCATCAAGAATTCCACTTGGTCACCACGAATATTGGACAAAATTTTATTTTGACTTCAGCCAGGATATTGCCGTTTAAATAAGCAACATCATATATATAATAGGATGTCATAGTAAAGGACTATGCGATTTCTGTGATGTTCCAGAGACGGTAGAACATTTTCTAATGAACTGTCGTGCATATGGAAAGGAAAGGCACATACTTAAGATGAAATGCCGCGATTATGGCATTGATTTTTAACTCAGAGCTGTCTTAAGCAACCCTAGCATTTTCCCTGCTATTGTATTGTTGATTTTGTGAAGTATCAAGAGTACCATAGGCATATACAAAGTTTGATTTAAATTGTCTGGCGCAAATAACTTAAATTGTTGAAAGCGCCATATACTTTCATACACCCACATACATTTCCACCCGTAAATTGCACTCAATACATTTGCACTTGCATACCTTTGCATCCAGCTATATTTGCATCCATCCATTTCCACCCATAGATTTTAGCACCCGCATATAGTTTGCACCCGTGGACATCAGCACCCATGTACATATGGACCCACGAACGTTTGCAGCAATGTACATTTGCACCAACGAACATTTGGATCAATGAACATTTTCAGACTTTAATTACCAACTATTTATATATATTCGAAATGAAGACGAATTACAAATTTTTAACTAGACCTATTTTTGGTGAGGGTTGTTACGTTTTTACTGTCCTTGCGAGTAATAATCCTACTCTACTGGTCCATGAGCCCTTCGCCGGTTCGCGTTCGCGTCAACCAACTTGCCGGTTTGCCAAATATATTGCAATATTATATCTAAATTGCAAAGGCATTGACGATTACCTGCCCATTTATTTTAGGAGTTTTAACTCCAGTTGATGCTTAAACCAAACTTTGTCAGAGGTCCTACGTTTCCACGTTTGCAAAAGGTCGTGACAAATGCTTGTGTTGACACAAAAAAGTAATTTGCTTTTATAAGTCAACACTTTAAAAATCTAAGCATCTTTTTTAGCAAGTATTTCCAAGAAAAATCAGATCAACTTCATGGAAACCTTCAATTGCAAAGAGAAATTCTGAACATTTTGTGTATTTTTTAATTAAGTAATGCATTATTTGATGTCACTGTATATTCATGAAAGATAGAGTCAATATTTGACTTTTTCAATTTAAATTAATCTTACCAAACTAATTTACAACACTTTTTTGCAACATTCCGTCGCGTCGAAAACAATGGTATCAAAACTGACATCTCAAATATTGAAAATTTAATTATCAATATTTCAAAGAATTAAGACAAGGATTTCAATTTCATTTCCATTCCAAGCAATCTATATGAATGCTTATTCCGATATGGATCTTTTTTTGATTTAAATATACTTCTATCAGAAAACTGTTACTACGTATGTCCTATAGCCAACTTGTCTCGAACATCCTATTTTTGATAATAGTAACAAACTGACCAAATATTAACTCTTTTTCGGATACCGTGTGGGTGCGACTGCAGAATGGCATATCATGATTATGACTACAAAAAGAAAAGATAAAATATTCAATGAAATACAAGATCTGTATGAATAATGTTTCATGTACAATTATTGACTTAAGTCTTTTGAATTAAAATGTACTTCTATCAGTGAAATGTTACTACGTATGACCCATGCCAGCTTGTCTCGAACATCCTATTTTTAATACCAATAACAAACTTTCCAAATATCACCCCTTTTTCGGATACCGTGTGGTTGCGACTGCAGAATGGAATATCATGGATATGACTACATAAAATATTCAAAGAAATTGAATATCTGTATGAATATTGTTTCATATACAATTTATGACTGACTATATGAATGACTTGAATTATTTGCAAATTACAATCAAATGTAGTAATGTGTCTCGTAATTAGTCTCGTCTTACTTATTTCATATGATTGATCAGAAATTAATGAAGAAACTTTGCACACAGCGTTAAGGGAGATTCTGGTCGATATTCAACAACAAGAATGAGCTGCATAATGCTTTGAACATATTTAACTCACTGCGGTTGCGACTGCACACAAATAGAAAGCAAATAATTGCGTTAGTGAGAATGAGGCATTAGAAATTTTACAAACATACGAGAAGATGGTTTTGTGGATGGGGTGATTGATGTTGTCACTTTACCTCATTGTGTGTTATATTCTTGGGGAAAATGATAAAATATTCAGCATTTCTAAAATTGTTTATACGATACAACGTGAGAATTTTATCAAAGCCCTTCGGTGGAAAAATAAGAAAAGTATAAATATTTACAAAATAAAATATAGATCTTCATTTTATCAAATATATTAAAATATGTATGACATTCTGATAATATATTAAAAAATTATATTTATCTTATCTCGTAGTGGTATATAGTAGGGAGAATGCGGAAGAATGAGCTTAATTACTTCAGTTCAGTGTACTGTTTATCCCCTGTGGCTATGAATGCAGATTCTAAATAAATAAATTCAACATTTTCATGAAAAATCTGTTTATCATACCGCAATCACTACTTTAAATATTTCCACAACAGGATGAGTTCCATAAGATCAGGAAACCTCAGAACCACGATATTAGTTGATCGACAACAAGATAATAAAATGTGATGTTCACGACCTACGAAATGAAACTTTCAACGAAAATCACCTTTTTTCAATCTTCAACTAATTATGAGACATTGACACAGTCTCTAATTGGCTCACGAATATGTGTCGTATTTTTTGTCTATATTAAATATTTTCCTCGTCTGTCTCGATAACTCATTCATATTGGATCGACTCGATGGATATTTTTGATAATAAACGCCATTCGTTTAGTAAGCTCAAATTTACTAGAAAAAGTTGATTAGAAGATATCAAATTTATTGTGAATTTCGTTTTACGCACATTTGGCTCTTAATGTGTAATAGTCCGGAAGAATCGTGGCCGAAGGTTGTTTTGAGTTTTTTTATTTTTTTATTGTTTGGATATAATGTCGATGACATAAATAATGATACCCAGGTGGGTGTGAAATATTTAATGTTGAGCAATTTTTTCTAAGTGGATTAAGGCGCTCCGGAAGTATTCGTGCCAGGATGACGCACATCCTGAACACTACCCTGGTACACATACAATGTTCAGGTTGTGCGCCATCTTGGTACGAATACGAGGCTGCAAACTCCACATCCATGTAGAAATGATGGGAAATGACCCCCAAGATGAATAATCACAATTAAAAAAAAAATTATGTCTGAAAACAAGGTTGGGCCCAAAAAAGCCTCTTATCTGCCGGACTATAAGTTTAAAATAGTCAATTAGGACTTGTTTTTGTAATGTTATACTTATGTTTACAATGAAGATTGTAATCTTCGTTCTCCTGATTGCTGGAGTCTGCGGGGACAGAAAGAAGAAAGAAGTTAATCTTGAAGAATTCTATGCTACATTCGATCCTGAAGTATGTTAATATCATGTATAAGTTTTGCAAAAATGTATTCTTGTTCTACCATGTATTCTTGTCAGACCAAAATACTGAATTTATTAAAATAATTATTCATTTTCCGATCTCAAAAAAGTAGGTCTGAAAATTTCCATCGATCTATGTAACATTGAAATGCCATTTTCAGATCTCTGTCTACTCTGCAAAAAAGTTTGATTTTCCAAGAGAAAAAGGACTTGATTTCAAAAACACTTCAGAATGCAGAGATTTCGAGTAATGTGTATTTTTTAAATTGAAATTATTATAATTTTTACTGAACCGCAGACATTTTATTCCTGCGTAGTGGTTTCATTCATAAATGCATCACCTCTTCAAATAAAAAATACTCATCTTCGGAGGAAAGTACGGATCAGTATTTTATCATCAAAACCTTCCAGATTCAAACAACAACGCATTTTGTATATTGAACATATCGTGTGTTTGAAATTACATAGAATTTGAAATTACATTCTGTCAAGAAAATCACGATTACGCTTATTGAATATGAAACAATAACAAATCAATACAAGAATATCGGTCAAAGACCGAAGACTTAATGATCGAAAGTTAGGGAATCCCCCAAAACAGCGCTCTTACACCATAGTGACACCTTGTGTCCCATTACTAATCAATTAATAACTCGCTAATTATACAACATAATTCGTCCAAAATCAATAGGCTACTGGTACGAGATATGATGAATGCACATGCAAAATCTGCAGCAGATCCAATCTCATTTTCGTGAGATATCGCGTGCATCTAACAGACAGACATATAAACAGACAAATACCTATCAACATACTTACCGATTAAAATCGATAATTAATGACGTGTTTCCGCAGCCGATAATGAAATGATTTCGTGTACAGAAAATTCCCCAGCCCGGAAAATTCATGTCCTGCTCCCAAAGGCATCGTATACAGCGGCGACTTGGTTTCTAATTGCAAGGAAAGAAAATGTATTCAGAAATCCTTCTACGGTTCAACAAAATGCAGAAAAGTAGTTCGATTATTTAATCCCTTCCCTCACGCTGCAGTGGAGTGCAAGTAAGTTGGTTGGTTATTCAACAAACGGAAGTTTGTAATGTATGATTCAACACTATTATGATCGTTTTATAAAATTGATATGTGTCAATATGTGTTTTAAATACACAAAGTTGTCAATATGAACACTTGATAATACATTTGATAACTAAGAAGTTATATAGGCCTATATATATATATAAAGTAATGTTATCAGGGCATTAAAATTGAAGAAAATGTCCAGTTTCCCGTAATTGTATTTCCCATCTTAAAATGAGTTATAATTATTATTTTACGTCATGAGTGGGAGTTATAACGATTTTCATTTTTTGGTAATAGCTGTATGTAACTTTGAGTCTTTAATAAAATCAATTTTTAAGAAAAATGTATGCAAGCTGTAAGTTGCTAAAACCCCACGATGACAAAGAGTTGAATCTTCAAACGATGGGAAACCACATTTATATCCGGAACCCATGAAAGATGAAAAACCACATCTGTATCCCGCTACAGAGAAAGCTGAAGATGGTGAAGAGATCTCCTGTAAATGTTTCACAATTTGGTGCTTCCGTGACATACACACAATCTACGAGGAAGACAGAAAGCTATTCGAAGGACATGTTGTTATAAAGGTGCGTTGTTATGGTAACTGACTAGTTAAATGTTGTATAATCCAAAGCTTCCAGTGTTCAATGGTTTGGATTATAAATAGTGTTTCCAAAAGCGGTCTGTTATTAGTATGCAAATGAACTTTCCGCTGTTTTATGAGCATATCCGATCTTACTTCAAAAATATACACTTAATCTAAATTCCTGGAATTATGGAGTTGAATTAGGTTTGAATTTTTTCATGCAAGTCTGGAACTAGAAATTGGGAATGTGAAGGTAAATGAGCTCAAGCTCACGTGTTGATCACGTGTAAGAACGAACCAACCCGTGTCCAACATTTTATTTGAAGCAATAATTTTTAGATTGCATATAACGTTCCTTAAAAATTTAAAAGTTTTGTTCAGTTTCATTTCCTGAAATGAACATTTTGTGTATTTTCTAATCACGTAATGTAATAATTGATGTTACTTTGTATACACGAATAATATTTTCAATATTATATTTGCCTTCTTGAATTCAAATTAATCTGGCCTGTCTAATTCACGACACTTTCTTGCGATATCTCGACGAAAAATAAGGTTCAAATCGTTTGCTTTTGTTGACAATTTATTCGAGCTGTACGCTTGTCCAGTGCTGCTTGTCTCAAATATTTATTTTTAAATAATATCGAAATTACTAAATATTAATCTATTTTCAGACACCTTGTGGATGCGACTGCAGGAGTGCATGCAGTAAAAATGGCTGTTATGGCGGAGGAAGAAGATGAATTTCTTAATGAAATAGACGAGTTTTATCCATATTTCTTTATGTACAAATATATATGCACATAAATTATTTGAAATATATGTGGATTACAATAAATGTACCAAAGAGTCTCGTCTTGTTTATGTCAGTTGATTAATCTGAAAATCAATAACGTGACCTGGCACGTGTTGTTGTCAGAGAAAAGGATTTGTCGCTTGAAGAACGCGAAAAGCGAAGAAGCGCAAAAGATTAGATACAGTTTCACTAGCCGTGTACTCAATATCTTGGGGGCTTGACATAATTTTACAATCGCTTCACAAAATGCAATACTGTACGAATTAAATTAGGACTTTTTGTTAGTAAAACAGATATATTTTAGGGCAGATGAAAAACTTCATAACTGGCATTTCGGTAAAATTTGTTATAAAAATACTGCAAAACAAAAAAATGGGCCTCATTAAAAGTGGCATATAAAAGTCGATAAAAAAAGAGTACGAGACATTTGAATAGCAGAACGGATTTGTAAAAAAGCCGATGTTAGTAGCTGAAAAGCACTTAGTTAGAAGCTGACAGCTATTCGGCGCTTCGATTCGTTATTAAAAACTAAAGAAATGACAACATTTGCCTAAACGAATATGCACTCATAAGGAGTTAGAAATGAAAAGTTAAGGAGTTAGAAATGAAAAATTAAGGAGTCGCTTGCAGCCAAGCTTAGAAAGCTCGCAAAGATAAATTGAACTCTAGAAATCTCTCATCTCATGAACTCTAGAAATTAACTTTAAATCTCTAAGTCTACATTTGGGATTTTGACAAACAATCAACCTTTTTTTAAATTTACAATCAAATATAAAAAATTGACATAGTCTCTGATTGTTGTCATAAATTGTACTACATTTTCATTTTTGATAAGAAAGATACGAAAATGTCTCCTTAGCTGTTGGACCTAAAAAACATATTGATGCAATATTTTGGTGTTATTCTGATTTATATCAGAGATACGAACCTTTACTGCGTAGAAACTAAAAAATCAAAATTTGGTTTCAATTTTGTTGCGGCAGCATCAGGAGGGCCAGATTGAATTACCTAGCGGGCCGGATCCGGTCCACAGGCCGTACTTTGCCCATGTCTGATATATAGCCAACTCAATATACAAATACAGCCATTAAGGTGATGTCCAAACACTGCCAAGTCATATGCATATAGCCAACTCAATAAACTAATACATCCATTAGAGTCATGTACAAGTACTGCAAGATCATTCAATAATAATACAATTTATGTAAATGCGGTTCCATCTACGAATTATATGCCCATTACGGGTTGTTCATATGATTAGCGCATTAAATGCGTTAAAAAACTCCAAAGAGGCGAGTGATCGATTTACGGCATTAGCATACATGGGTATGGCTTTACTTACATGTTGATTGCGCACAAGAAGACATAAAACTGTCAGTGTTTGTAGTACACTATACTATACAACAGGTACCAATTTATGATATCATAATACCCCACAACAGCTGGTCGTTGATAGCACGAGGAATGTGCTGGCTGAAAATCTCTTTTTAGAGAACTATTATTTGGCTATTGGCAATAAACTGTCCACAAAATAATCAAATTAACTCTTGGTGGAAAATATAAAACATAAACTGCTGGGACGCGTAGTTCTTGATAAATGTCCAATAGGCGCCAATCTATGATGTCATAATACCATTTTGATTCATTGTTAAAGATATCGATGATCCAACAAAAAAACAAGTATTGGAAATAGTGTTGCCAATAGTATTAATAATACTGACGCTCCCGTTTTTCTCTGTACAGTCCCTGAAGGTTTATGACTTCATACCAAACATACAATGAATCGCCTGAATGCCCGCGGGCCGCACGAAATCCTCTTTTTGTCACTTCTGAATTAGATCAACAAGTTCATTTACCAGGGTCCTCAATATTTGTCGCGTTTCGAAAGTTTTATTGCGGAGAAGAAGCAAATGGAAAGTTTCCATTCTTCTTGTTTTAGTTGCAACCTATTTAAAAAAAATCAAATAAGAACCTTGCTCATCAGTCTCTACATCTAGATTAGATGCAATCTGATATCTACAAAAATAGATATAGTATGAAACTGAAAGGAAAATACCTAACTCAAATTTTAAATCATGTGCTCCGAGAGTTTACCCGATAAATTTGATGTCTGCGTCTTCCCTGTCTGCTAACAACTAATTGTGTTTTCTCTGAAGACATTTGCTATGCTCATTTGAGATGCCCTTCTAGAGGTTGGGTGTCATCATTGTGGCAGGAAGAGCAAGAAAAGTTTGTCAGTCAACTGTCAAAGATGCAACGAAAACGACGCTACGACTGCTTTATTACCTGGAAATTATCTGGCATACGCTCTGGATAGTGCTATTGTGGCGCTTCTGAAAGCTACGTGAATGCCAGCTTTGCTACTGGACTACAATCTGATGTTTCTGATTTGAATGGCCTTTACTAACTATTCGGTTGGAATATCAGGGATGCGTGTGTTTTAATTTAAACTAAGTGATTCGAAAAGTAAAATGGAGTATCTTGAAAGAACGTCCCTGGATGGCGCATTATACGAAAAGGGAAAACTTGGGTCAAATATCAACTACCATAAGACTTGAAGATATGAAGAAAACTGAAATCAAATGCATCCTATCCTATAGCAACATCTTCGATACACTAAAAATGTGAAATCGATTAGTCCATTAGTTGCAGAAAAAAATGATTTTTTTCACAATACCAACAACCCTACAATAACAACAACCGTTTTGCAAACTATCCACAGGTACACTTCGTACTCAAAATATACAAACGAACTTGATTTAAAAAAAACAAATTTCAAATTTAGCAGCTCATTTTTAGGATTATAAAAATTGTGTATTTAAATAAACATGTATTAACTAAATACTTCATTACGTTTTCCTTGAATTGAGTTGCCCAGTTTAAACGCCTAAGAAACCGTTAACCATGATCTTAAATGATTTAATACCAGACGTACTCTACTAGCTACAGTTGGGGGCTTCTTTTTCCAGTCACCGTTGTTATGAGTTATTTGGTAATCATTGAGATTAAATATTAAGAAGAATAGAACAAATGTATATCTAGCCTTCTGTTCATTGGATAACCATGAATATAATGGATAGAAGTTGTACAGCGCTTTGAATTTGACAAGTGTACTTAAAAAACACATTGTTTCACAATAGCGGACAAGCGCGACGGTCACAAGAAAAAGCATCTTGAATCATACTGAATGTAAAAAAAACATGAAAGTGTGAAATATTGTCATAAAATGAATAAAAACCAGTGCTGTTCTATTGCAGATTCTGCACAACGGAATATTTTCCTAATGTATGAAAATAAACATTGTTTGTACAGTTGTTTAAGAGGAACATAACATGAAATATGTTTGGAAATAACGGTATTGAACGAAAATCCTTAGCTGTTTTATTGCAGATGCTTCACAACGTAATGTTTCCTCAATGTACGAAAATAAACATTGTCTGTATACAGTTGTCTAAGAAAAACATAACATGAAAACAATATATATATTATTTTCAATTTGATAGAGTCTTGTAAAGTTTAACCACTGCATCCTTGAATAGCAAGCATAAATTAGAAAGATATGGCATTATATTAATATAGTCTTGCTATTAACGAGATATGTACGGTGAAAGTGTACCAATTCCACATTTCTTTTGCGCGTTCTTCATATGTTTTGGATATTTCCAGTCACATTCTATGCTATTGTTAGTTTATGTCTGGTGGATTTAAAAACGTTATAACTTTGTCTTCGAGGAAGTCTATGAACGACTTTCGAAATAGTCCCCGAAAATTTTCTTTTCTAAGAATAAAATAATTTTCCGGATGTGCCAGCACTTCAAACAGTGTCATTCGTGATTTCCTGTCCTAAAAATGCCATAAAAATATGTTAGTTGAGATGCAATATAATTGAGCGGGATTCCAAAATGCATTTAGAAACACCTAATAATTTAACAGCAAAGGAGGCATTGTCCATAGGAAGTATCTCGGACAAGGAATGCGTTTTAATGCTAAAACCGGAGTAATTATATATTCCTGCCCTTTGAATTATCTGGGCTCACATACATATATTCCAAAACAAATGAATTTTTCGCTCTTTAACTATTTATGATGAGGTAACGTAATTTGCTTAATCAGTAGTTACTAGCACCAACTTCTTCTCCCCAATTTAACTAAATTCTAAGCCATGATACAGACTTCGCGTAAACTATATAGATATCGTTAAAATTGTTTTCCTCATTTTACAATATTCATTTTCAACACTGTTTTGTGTTTGGGATTGCGTTGCACGTTCATAATAGAATGAATACCTAGTTAATTAGTGTGATTACTCAAAATACCTTAAGAATATCTTGATGATAATTTGCAGAATATAATCTACCATCGTTGACAATGTTCTTTATTATGGTTTCATAATTTTCTGAAAAAGATTTGAAAATAACGTTTGGATATTGTCGATATTTATCGAATTCATGTTATATTATTATACCCACCATCGTATGTCACATATGGTATTTGAAACCCTTTGGCCGTATTTTGTCCATCAGATTTAAATTCAATCCACAGTTTTTTTGAACGAGCAGTGTGAGCATATGGATTTTTATACGTTTGACAAGATTCGTACGTAACTACTGACGAAGGTGACGCTTGTAATCCGAAAACGAAAAAATACAGATCAAGTTAAAAAAAAATAGGAGAATGCCATTAACATTACTAATTTATGATGCTCTATGCCTGGTATCTTACATGATTTTCGTATCTTCAAATAGTCACCGCAGTCATCTTCTCTCACTAAATGTATTTCAGGAACAACGAAAAGAATCTTTCTTCCTTTAGGCGGAACGATAGTCCACTGACATCGAATATTTACAGGATAGTTACCAGGATAATTAGGAGATTGAATCATTCCTTGATAATCCCCGCCTGTACCACCACATTCTCTATCTGAAATTATGCAATAATGGTATATAACGTTAACAATTTATCCGTTTTTTCGGCATTTATTAGTTTCCAAAACCATTTTGCAATAATTCCCCACTGCAATGGCAGCCATTATACCTAAGATACATGTAGCCTGCATGCAATTACGATAAACTCCAAAATGAATCGCGCGATCATATATATCATATGTTCATTATTGTACTTACCTTTGCAAGAATCGACGTCAGTCGATCCATCAAAATCTGTGGTTGTGTTGTTAGGGCATTTATGGCAATAGTTCTGCCCCATTTGATGTTGATAAAAACCAAAAGGGCATCGGATACAAGTGGATACACGAATATCGTAATAGTGACCTAAAAAAAACTTGAAAAATTCATGCGACTCACGATTTCAATTAGCTTGCTGGGTATAAATTTATTTTGAATCATATTATTTCTGATTTAAGACTCGCGAAAAACTGTGGATGATAACTTCTTGGGATTTTTAAATTTGGCACGTCTATAGTAAGTTTACCTGGACTGCATTTTGCACGCACTGAACATTGTTCAAAACTATTTGAAGCTAAACCTTTAGTTGTTATTCCTCTGCCACACTCGTAACATCCACGACGACCAAATTCTGGTTGGTAAGTACCTCTCGCGCAAGGTCGACAAGGTCCAAAACCTCTGGCGGAAAAATAACCCGGTCGACAGAGTCCTGAATGAGCCAATAATGTATGGATATGATTTAATTATCTCAGATGAGGTGTAAAGTAGGTCTGTAAAAGTCTGAAGTTTAAATTTTTATAAACTCTGGTTTACTCAAAAGCAACAATCGTCCTTATTTCTTGTCAGCTAACAAGTTTAATACATTACGAATAAACATATGATTATACAAAAAAATCATCTCCTCAATTTCGAATATTTAGCTAAACGTGCTGAATAATTTGCAATCAAAACAATCCCTACTCGAAGTTTTATGTATCAACAAATGTCAGAACCCGTTGCGAAACCAACCTGGGCATTCCGTAACAGTTTTCCCCGAAAACGTTCCTCTTCCAGCATCAACTAATCGTCTTGGACATGGCATGCATGTAAGTTGTCCTAGCTGATCTTGGTAAAATCCATTGGTGCAGTTTTGACAGGAATCGGATGATATGTCGTATCTTGTTCCCGTTGGACAAGGCTCTAAACATATACGGTATTGGTAATGATATGTTTCATTGTTTGATTTAATCTTTTGTTTATAAATGTGTTAATAAAGTGTAATACATAATCATTTTCGGATAATTGTACCACCCATAAAACACAAATTATTTGCATATGAGAATTCAACTATATAAAACTTTTTACCACAACTGTTGTTTGATTTATCCAATCTCTCTCCTATCTCACAACTTGTCTTCATCCCAACATCAATTCCCCGTTTTCTACCAATAGATAAGTCGGTGGTTTTGAAGTTTGTGTAAAACTGTTTCTTGCCAATTGCGCGTTTGACTGCTTTTGTCAATGACTTGGCATACTTGTTCTGTTTCTTTTGAGCACACTTCTGGTCACATTTTTCTATTACGTATAATAATATGGGACCATTAAACGATTTAACATTGATAGTAAAACATTAACAATAGACAATATAAATATATATAAGGCAAAAAATACAAAACACCACAACAAAATATGAGCCCCAGTCCGGATCAAACATCGAGCATCAGGGCCATCACGTTGGCGTCTCGGGTTAAAAATTTCACCATTTTCTACATCTTATTCAAATTGTAGAATATACAATGTCAAACCGCAAACCGGTCCACCAAGGAATTTATTGTAGTCCTTGTCAACACTCACATTTTCCCCATCAAGCATAAAATCATAATCCGACAGTTTAGGTTAAAAAAGTCGCTTACATGGGTGAAAATACATAGTAGTTTTGGTGCTCCCGAAGTATTCGTACCAAGATGGCGCACAACCTGAACATAGTATGTGTACCAGATCAGGGTTGTTCAGGTTGTGCGTCATTTTTGTACGAATACCTCCGGAACGCCATATTTTTTGCTATTGTCGCTGCGACAAAATTACATTGTGATAATGTTTTAAATCGTTGTTTACAAGTAAAATCTATTTTTTGTGTGGCACAGCTAGATGTCTGAAGTTGATGCATTAGAAAATGAAGAATATTTGCAGTATAGTTCAAGCATCTGTCTATATGATGCTTTCCTACCACCCTATTCATGAATAAAACATGCTGCTAGTGTTTGTTAACAACTTACTTGACAATCGAACTAATAATTCAATCTCAATTTGAATTTGGGAACGAGATTTTTTCTTTTTCGTCGATTCACAATGAGCAATAAAACTGGAAAACTCGACGCGTAATGCTGAAAAAATATTAAAATATTTAACATTATTAGAAAGAGCAAGTATAATACTTTTGATTTGGCCTAATTTTAGCACTACTATACGCTTTGTTACCTGGAGACGGTAGAGTTTTGTGAATATTTCTTACTCCCAGACTACATTGTTTCAAGTTCAACTTAATCTTTACTATTTGTCGGAGAATCTCGCTGGAGCCATCTGGAACAAAAATTCCGAAATTTTATTCATAATATCATGAATTGCTTAAAATACAACATAACTGGTAAAAAGTATAAGTAAATTTGAACATTTTCTTGAAGCTTTAGTTTTCTATATATTAATTTAAAAAACCGTTCACCATATGTGAATTACAGATACATTAAAAATACCGCATTACGGTTTAAAAAATAAATATATACAATAAATCTTCGCATTTAAAGCACAATCTGTAAACACGTGTCTCACCTGCACAATTAAAAAGCGAATTATTTTCTCTCAAATGACTATTAATCCACTGATACTTTGTGTCTTCAGATTGTATTAGGTCATCTGGCAATTCGTGCCCGCATGTGTAAAAATATTTGGAAGGGTTCATTGATGATATGAACTTGTGATGCTTTCTACATTCTAGCATACAAGTTTTAGATCTCATGTTGCAGTTGAGTGAGCCCGCTTGTTCACGAGCAATTGCCAGTTCTGGGCATGAGCTCTTCACTAAAAATAGATTTGTGTAAAATTTCAATAAATAAAGTTTTTTAATCCATGACTTGAAGGGAAATTTTTATTGTGAAAAAATCTTGGGTTAACACCATATTTTCACTAAAATTCATGGGCGCAATGGCTTAGCTAGAGAACCATTGGACCTGGCTATTCCGACATTGCCGAATAAAAATCTCGAGTTTGAAGTCCGCAGTGTAAAACCGGAAATATTCCGGACTTTCATCACTATAAGAAAAATTGCTCATATAAGAAACAATAAAATATCTTACATATGCAGTCTTTTTTGTTCCAATGCAGAAAATACCCTTCGCGACACTTGCATACATAACTGCCAATTGTGTTCCTACAGTCATGTCCACAACCACCGTTATTAGCTGCACATTCGTCTATATCTATACAAGACGCAAAAACCAAAAAAAGGGTTATGACATGAAATTCCCAAGTTACCGTATAAGGTGTAATGTAATTTTCTCAAAAACCACTGTACTGTAACTGGACTTGCATCCAAATCTATTGATGATGTTGAAAATTAATGTTGTTTTACTTTATGTGGACAGCAGCCATAGGGTATGGGTTTAGCCAGGAATTTTCAAATGGGGGGGGGGGCAAAATTTCTAATTGCCTAAATTTCTAATAGTGGCCAGGTAATAAAGGAGGCCAGGTAATAAATGTTTTCAAGAGTCTTGACATTTTTTTCTGTTACATTTCGAAAGGGGGGAAGGGGCGAAAACCACCTCCTGGGTACGCCTTTGACGTCCGGTACTTATGTTGTACAACGAATTAACCATGGAATCAAATAGACTTTATTTTAAAATAAAATCATGCTAAAATGGATGATACAACTTTGACAAATCTTGCAATCCGAATGTATTACATTGGACCGTTTCCAGTCATTCAGAGTAAATAACTTGACAACAACAAAAAAATGCTCGTTTTAATTCTGGAGCCAATCGTTGCCGAATTCAACTCATATTTGACACACATTAAGCTTGTATCGCTTGTGAATTACATAAACCTTACATAAGTAGCAGTTAGTTAAGGACCTAAATACAGACGGAAATTTTTATTCCTAATTGTGAATTGACAAACGAAAGTGTTATAAAAGTTTGTTAAACAGTTTTCCAACGGGAAGTTGAGTTAACAATTTTACTGCGCTTAAGGATGTATATACTTTGACATATTAGAGTTAATGTGGAGATATTTATCGGGATTTTTTTTGAGTTGTATCTATGATGTATGGCAGGGCTACCCAACTGGCGGACCGTGGGCCGAATCCGAATCTTCGAGTATTTGACTCGGACCGCACATAATTCTTATTTTGGATCATAGTTCCCACTTTGCATATGTGAAGGGTTATTTCTGAATTTGCTCATATTTGCACCTGACTATTCATGAAAAGAACTGCAACGGCATAATAAACAATGCGAATAGCGTTATCTTAATTAGCGAATAATCGTTAGCCGGCGGAGGAAGTGCAGGTTTAAAGACGTTGAAATATCATTTCTGAAAAAAACAGACCCCATTAATTTTGAAGATTTTGTATACAAATCTTTGGTAAAAATAGTTGAGTAGCCCTGATATACAGTAATGAATACAAAAGCAACACTATCTGTTTTAAAATGTCTTTTGACAATAGATTTTTCAACGCAATTTTTCGTTAAGGTAAACAAATAAGCGGCGTAGAAATGGGGTTGAAAATTAAGAAATTAAATCTGCCAAAAACGTGACTGCTCATCTCAGAAGCACATTCTCACGTGGATAATTTTTCATAGGAGAAAAAATGCATTGCAACAAACATTACAAAATATGTTTAAAAAAATTACACAGCCTTTTACCGATTTAGTTTAAGCATGCGTATCTAATCTGACAAAGGTCTGACATATTTATGCAATTACCTCCACACCTTGCCATTGCAAATTTTGCAAATCCTTCTTTACATAAGCATTCGTAACTTCCCATCGAATTAATACATTCGTGCGCACACGTATCATTCATTTCACATTCGTTTGTATCTTTAAAATATAATAATGATAACAAAAACATAAAACACACATGGAAAAATCATTTTTTATTTTTAATTGTGTAAATCCTTTCAGTTAACAAACGTGGAATTCAAATATTTGTTCGAAGGACCTTAGAAAATAACAGTTTCTTGTATTTATTTTGCAAATTACAAAAAAAAGCATGAGTGAATATTCATTCTTTGAGTATTTTTGAACAGAAAGTTTAGAATAATATACCAGTGCAAATCCCATTTCTAATATATATTTGATTTCGTGTCATATGTTACCTGAACATGTTATTTCGTCTAAATCCAATCTATATCCGTCATCGCAACTGCATTGAAAACTGCCGTGACTATTATGACATGTATGATGACAACCTCCATTGTTTAAGGCGCATTCGTTTATATCTATAATAAGTTACAGATAAAATGGTTTTGCGTTGAATTCAATTATTTGGACCTTTGTTTCAAAATTTACGCAATCGTGAATGATTACCCCGAAGCCATGGAATTTGCCATGTAGGCAAATAATAACAGAATAACAACAACATGCTGTTGTTCATCATTTTTCAACAATACAAGCTTGGCAAAATTGACAAACTGCTCCGAAGATTCAGTGATTTAATCAACTGGTTGATTTAATTGATGGACCATTTTCAAGGTCTAGAAATATTGGCTACACCTGAGAATTTAGCACGCTACGTTTACGTGCAACTCTTTCCTAGACCTAATTAGATTGTGCACGAGAAAATCATCAATTATCCTAGATTGCATATACAAATTTAGTTGACAATCTTTAATAAAATTAATTTCAGAGGAATACATATCTACTCCAGTAAATTGTGTCTGTCTTTGGTATGCAAGCTCAAGGTTGCATACTCACAGTCGGCAACGTTTGCACGGTTTTCACGTCACGTCAAGAACTGTGACCACACTCACTATCGAGTGGGAATTTTTTTATGCACTTTAATCCATATATTTCAGTTTTATAACCTTCACAAGATCGCCCATCCATTCTCGGAATGAATCCATGTGGACAAGAGCACTGAGCGCCAACAGGCGTTTCTTCGCAATTTATGTCACAACCTCCATTGTCGATTGAACAACTCGAAGCTAAACAAAAACATATAATACTATTCACAAAAATGTATAATCAGAATAAATAAACGACAGTTAAATTAAAAATGAGCATAGCCACTTCAAAGCGAGGCAGGCGGGAATCCAATAGAGCCAGCGCCGCATGCACTCACAGGCATGAGAGACATGCATACAATTACATGCATGACATAGATTTTTGATGCGGAATTGTCGTAATCAAACAAAAATTTGATTACCAAAAAAACTACGCCAAAGTACAATTTTAACTCTATATAGTACGTAAATTAATCTACCTTTTTTCGTTCTGCGTAACAAAAGCTTGTTGAGCATGTTTGGCACTGCTTTCGACTTTTGAATTTCTATAAATTCAAAATACAGAAACCGTGAGACATTGTTGCATAAGGCAGAACGCTTTACAGACGTAAGGGTAAAGGGGCCGTTTTCTATCTCTCGATTATAAAAGTCTCATTTTAAAGGAAATTTCGTTTCGCCGATCGAGTGTATAGAAGTGGAAGAATGCGAAATATAGTTAGCATAAACTTTAAATATTACAATTTAACATATTTATATAATCTGTATTTATAGCATAATTCCGAACGATCGTAATCTCAGAGTGATTTTTAACGGTGCGTAATTAGTGAAGCGTGATGAAGGTTATTGAATATTATGAATATTATGCTGCAACATGTATTAGTATTAAAATTTGTTATTAATTGTCTTGTGGATGTTAAAATTATCACCTCCATTGTGATTTTTTGAAGCTTTATTTGCTTTTAGCTGCAATTATGCTCGTTCAATGGCTATTTTAGAGTCGACTTACCAACGCAACTTCTTTTATCAGCAGCTAACGTGTAGCTGACATGGCATTTGCAGAATATCCCTCTTTTTCCTTTATCCACACATTTATGTTGGCATCCCCCATTACCATGAGAGCACAATCCTGAATTGTTATGTATAATTAAAATTTAAACTTTGAACCTACGAAGTAAAATGTAGATTTTATTAGATTAACTAACAATCCTGAAGCCAGGTCACAAGTATCAAGTAAAAACTTTTTTTTTCTCTTGTTGGGAATGTCGTAATAAGAAAACACGTTTGTGTGTATTCTGAGTATTTTGACCAACATTTCACGACGTGGTTTTTCACACCCTTATCGAATTACCAATATCGCAAATTAAGAAACGCAAACCAAACATGCATACAAAAAGTTTATTGGTGTCGATTACTACGAAGTGTCTCTGCTAAATATTCAATTACAGCATAAGCTAGCGATACTGCTTATGTCGTCCATGGATTATCCGATATTTCATTGGGAATCTTTCCCGGTGATGTCTCACTCTGACATCTTTTTGAATGTATGTAACTTTATACAAACATTCCGATAGATGATTAAAATTTTGCGAATACCACTTTCTCAATCTAATGTTGATAGGAAAAACATATACATACTTATGCATGACCCATCGGTATGTAGTCTGTATCCAGATCTCAAATTACAGGGTCGATCATCAAAAAAATCATCATCTCCATCCAGTTGTTGATCTATCGACAAATTCCTGTTTGAATTCAACTTTCCTGTCATTTTAATGAAAAATTTTAAAAAAATAAGTATGAAAATATACATAAAAAAGTTACATTACAAAGCGAAACGAACTTGTGAAAACATAGTTCATGCATATTTCATATTAGTAAAATACCAATCTACGTCACTACTAGTATTTCAAAGGAATCTTCTGTTGCATGTCATTACACTCTACGTCATTTGAATTATGTGAAATGAATTTTTTAAGGGTTTTTTCGTTTAAGTTTTTGTTGCAAATATTCAAGTGCAAAGGTCATTGTTATGGCATAACAAGAACGAAAATCTGACACCGAATCCAACAAATCATATAACCACGAAAATTCTTTTTTTAAACAATATTTTGAAACAGTACGGCATTATATATACCATTTTTTCGTAAACCCAACAAAGAGTGTACTTTTTCTGGGATTTACTCCTTTTTTGGGATAGAATAATAAAACAACAAACCTGTCGGAATACATGTATGTCCGTTCGAGCTTAGAACAAAATTTTCCAAGCAAGAGCATTCGTAACTTCCTATGATATTATGGCACAGATGTTGACATAATCCCTTGTGTGTAAGACACTCATTAAGGTCTAAACATAATATTGAACGTGTTTCAGACACCTAATCGATTTCTTTAAAAGTTTATTAAAAAACTAAGCTTATATAGTGTGTCTCATAACACCGTAACTCATGTTGAAAATCTAATGCTAGTACTCTCGAAAACAAAGAATTTTAATACTAGCCTTAAACACAACAGTATTGCTATTAATAACAATCTTAAAACAACTCAATTCACCCTCGCAATTTCTCCCATTTTTCGTCATTTTAAATCCTGGAAAACATGGACAACTAAACTCTCCATCTTTGTGAATACATTGTTGAACACACCCGCCATTTTGTCTTCTGCATGGATTGTTACCTAAAAACAACAAGAAGTTATATTTATTTATTCATTTTGGCCTCTAAGTAAATTAAACTAGGCAGAACTATTTTAACGAATTTCGTTAAAATTGCGCGATACGAGAGCACACCGATTACCAATACTTGATAACAAATTATTAAAAAAACTTGTTGGTGTTGTGATGTGTTTGTGTACTGCGCTTCTTCTTTAATTGCTTGCCGGTTAATTCTAATTGATCAAATTTTGCTTCTTTTTGGCGTATGAAATTCAAAAACAGTTTAAGTGATCAATAAATGTAATAGAGTAATGTAAAAAAAAGTTTGATGTCTGCTTTTTGAAACAAATTAATTTTACTATACTCGACCGTCTACAAAAGATATCATTACCCTATTTGTTTTACACGAAAAGCCTCTGAGTAATCCACATATTCAGTTTAATTAGCTTGTGGTTTTTATTACAGACCGACATACATATTAATCATAAACAAGTTGTCTTCAATGTTTGCTTTGAGTTTTAACAATGAAGTGGGTTTTCGAAACACAATGTGTATTACTGTTGTAAAGAATTTAGGAAGGTAAACAGAAATAAACTAAGCACACTGATAAAAAAAAATTGTAAACCTATCGACGGATACAAGCAATTAGCACCAAATTTTAAGATATTTTTAGTATAAATTGATCTTTACGGGGTGCATATCAGTACGTGGTTAAATTTACCACATATCGCTGAGACACAAAACGTCCCGTATACCGAATATGAATATGACTAGTACCGTGAAATTCTGGAAAATATATTGTGCTTCATTACTGATAAGTACTTTGTTAATACAGGTGGGTGATTCTTATTAATTACATTCAAGTACATGAAGTTATTTCTTGAGTACTTTACAGAAAATTAAAAGTTTGACCAAACATGCTATTTTATTTACTTAAAAGTCCAATAGCATTGTTCTGATGAGTATTGCAACTAGTGAAAAATATAGTATTTTATTTTGTGCTTCATTCTAATATGCACTGCTGTTTGTTCCTGGTGACACGGATTTTATCTTGACCAAGCGTTAACGTTTTATCATATTGTAATCAGATTCAATCGGAATAGTCACTAAACTTTTTTCAAATTAAATGACAGGCAGAAACTTAATACTTCTTTTAAAAATGTGTGTTTAATATAAATATAATCGTTAATTGGTAATAAAATAGAAACTACGTAATATTTGAAAGTACAAGCTACAAAGAGTTATGACCTCAATATAATGTTCATTACCTGTCACATAAATGTTTCCTGAATTCGACGATATGACGTATGCAGTGATAAAACTGACGTAGATCGTTGTAAATGATGTCATCTTGGTCAATGAATTGAATGAGAAAATTTATTTAAAACAGACATACACAATGGAACCGTTTAATAATACAAATTAACTCATTGCTTATTTTATAATATGCTGTTTGCTGTAATGAAAACCAAGATCTCATAGCGTATTATCTTTGTTTATCAAATAATTCCAAGTCTGCTACAAAACGTATAAATATCTCGTCCTATCTCTTAATGAAAACTACTTGCTGTTCATTCTATTTCAAAACATGTGGTCCGACTTCTGGCCTATAAGCACGTACGACAAGCGACAACCTCCGTCATAGATGATAGGCAAGTATCCCTAAAATACACATTTATTATCCGCAGTATATAAAATAAAATATTAAATAAAATAAAAACAATTTAAAGTGCTCAAGTTATGTATTGCTGTTACGTCATATTACGGAACATGTTTGTGTACTATATCCGATGTAAAACCTCGAAGGTATAAAACATATGCTCGAACAAAGTAAACTAAGCCCTCAACTGTTTGTCAATCGTAATTGCTAACTTCATGAAGACCCTTCACTTTTTGAGCTTTATAAACTTGGGTGAGAACTGGACGAGCAAGGGTTCTCGCCAACATTTTTAAAGATCTACACTTTCATAGGTAGTTAAACCCATCTCACAGTCTAACTTGCATCAGTAAATACTAGCATATACTATAAATGTTAATATTAGTAAATCAAACCAGCGAAACGAATTAATTTCAGTTGGAAATGAATGGAATATTTATCACCCACTCAAAAATACGTTCATGAAAGACCCAGCATCTTAATTATAGAAAAAAACTTATTTTCTCTTTATTTTCACCTTGCATACTGTACATTTTTTCAACTTTTAAAATCTCTCTCGGCCATTGCAAACATTTACAAAAAATGAACAAGCATTTGTATGCTATAAAAACCAACAACCCATACATGGTACATGCTTGATTCGATTTTTCTTTTGAAACGTGATATGCAAATGTTATCATCTTTACATACTTTTAAAAATTACCCAGTTTCATTCGATCTGACATGGCCACATATAACTAGAAATGACTTAACTTTGATGACACGATTGATAACTCCACATAAATTATATCAAATTACCCATATTTGATATTTTGTGTTTTAGACACGCTCTCATTAATTTTTATTAATATTCTTGAAAGGAGAAAGGAAAGCATCAACATGTTTATGGGGGAACGAGTTGTGCATTAACTTGGAGAAAAATAACATAACACCATATGAATAAATTAAAATAATTTCAAAATTCATTCATGTTGCTTTTTTTAACCATTAATATCAATATAACTGTGTTTGTCTCTTAATCGTCAGTATGTTCACTTGTCTCAATAATAGCATTTGGGCAAAAAGAATACTTTTGGTTAAGAATCATAATCAAAAGTTACTGTTGTAAAACTTTAACATATAAGAAATATAGAATGACAAATGTATCGGTTCCAACTGATTTTATTATATTTCACTATAAATAGTACAATAAATACATGGCTAATCGTCAGTGGTAACAATATTAATTAACTTTCAAAACATTAATACAGTTTATGCCGAACAACGAGATTCGTTTACCCTGATGGTTTTCAGATAATACCCGAAGCAAACACCTGTCTGTGACAATTACTAAAAACTTCGCGGAAGAACTTCCGGAACAGGTATTTTAAGTCTTACTTACATGAGTCAACTACGACCTTTAACCCTGTGTTATCCTTTGCAAAGCCATAAAATAAGTCCATAATATCTGATGATATCCAAGATAATTCCAACTGTTAGAAGTTAACTCAGCACTGGCTATTTCAGTCACGAATGAACTTCACTAAGCTATTAGCATTCTAAGCTTATGATAATGCAAACAATTTATTCCAGTGACGCACAACTGATAAAATTTCGTCGTTGAATGAAGAACATTATAAATGAACTGTGTTAGAAATCATTTGTCAAATTTGTCTCTTTTTATGATTCCGTCTTCTTTATTTCGAGTCGTATCTTGTGTGAGCCATAGTTAAAACGCTGCTCCGTCACGCGATTCATTTTTAGCAAATATACGACTAAAAATTATTCCACGAAAATAAAATTGTGGGGTTATGGAACCATACTTAAATAAGATGGGGTGGAATCTCACATTTTATGACTTCTGAGATTGTTTCGATGTCTATATATATATAGAGAGAGAGAGAGAGAGAGGGAGAGAGAGAGAAATTGAGGATGAACATTTGCACATAATGTTAGAAGGGTTCAATTTTAAAACAATCGAGGCAAAATTATAAAAACATAACGAGAGAGCGATGCTCAAATATATTGACGCGAAGACCAAAGCAGTAGTCTATCGTACCTTATACAGAACCCTTACGTAACCTACTGTACGGTGCCCTAATAAAGTCCCGACTTTCGCGTAGCACGGCAGTAGCACGAGAGAGGTCGCAGAACCGCTACAAACAATTTTTATTAATTTTAAAGAGATCATCACACAATTGTTCGTAGTCGGTCACAATAAGTTTTCTACTAATTTATGACCTATGAAGGAGGCGGCGTGCTGTTCAATGCATTAAGAATGATTCTTCCTGGTAAATACAATAATTTTCGATAATGTTTCTACAACTAAGTTGTAATACCCTTACGTCGTGATATGCACGTTTTCATGGCAGATATCGGATCCCTAATAATGTCTTCAATATTTAATCTTTTTCTAAAATTACATGGTTTTTCTATCTCAATATACCCACTTAAAACGACAAATCGTCGTGATCTCATTCATGCACGATAAATGCTTGACATATTACCAGACGAGTTGGTTTCTGTCTGCAGCTACTAAAGTTACACGAAATTACCCCATAAATAAAACCATCATTTCAATTCAAATAAGTATGGCTCTACTTGTAAAACCGATAATTTTTAACGGGGTGTGTCATACGTTTCCCACGCTATGTGTCACCACAAACGACAATCCTACATGTTGAGGTTTTGTCTCAATTATACAAGGTCAAGCTTTTCTCCTCAGCTATGTGACGCATGTGGATTGCAGGATGGTTAAGGAATCTCAGCAGAAATTTCGCACACCACGGATAAAACAATTTTAGAGTTTTGGTGCATGGTATTTAAAATCATCATCATAATGTAGTACTAATTATATATGTAGAATTAATAGCATAATAATAATAATATGTAAGAAAATTTACCAACTCAAAGCACGTCCTTTTAACCTATGTGACACAAATATCTACATGTACTTGTTTTGAACACAACTACTATACACAATCTAACTACACAACTAAACTACACAAGCTACACAATCCAAACATAATTTAGGGCCCTAAGTACCATGACGTTGTGGAAGTTTTTCTCCAGTTTTTCAAGTACACCATTTAAGAGATTCGAATGAATACTACTAGTTCGGTAGCCGATGGGATTTGTATACCAATCGTCAAAGTTGTTGACAAACAATTTCTGTAAGAACTAAACATGAACTCATAGCAATTAAACTGATTTATATTTAAATTTTGACATGCAACCGACATGAAAGTTTTTCACATTATATTCGCCAATTATCTATTTGGTCGCGGTCAAAAATGAAAATAATCTAATTCGAGTTTAAGGTTTTGAGTTTAGCTCTTGCAATAATCGAAATTTGAAAGTTCATTTTTACCCTGAATATTAGGTTGAAGTTGCAGATCATCATTCTAAAGTGACAATGAGAAATATCTCGCAAAATCAATCCCGTCTATCGTTAAGTAATTCACTCCATCAAATATATAAATTACAATATTCATCTGCTGTTGGTTTTCAATCGGTGTTTTGAGGCTTGCACTAAAAATGAATCGTGTTTGTCAATCACAACCTCGCCATATAATGTGTTTCAATGATGTTCGCAAATAAAATAACTTTTTACTTTCTACATTGATGACTTATTCTAGGGTTAAGAAGGGATTTGCTATTACCCATTTCCTTATTTGAACCGTGAAAAGTGTTACCAATCCACCTGGATGTAACTCAGTACCTAATGGGATTATTACCCATTAGTCATTAGGTGTCTGTCATGATATTTACGAGAGTGCCGAGGACGGATTTAGTGGAGCTTCCGAAAGTTGATACCTTCGCACACCGCAAAAAATAAACAAATTATAAAGCCAGCTGCAAAAAGAGTTTTGTGAAAATTCAAGAACCCTTTCACCAAGCGATTAACCTCATCTTCATTGAACCAAGAAACACCATAATGAGGTATCGAATGTATCTTTCCTATTTACTATAAACAGAAAAATATTTTAATAAATTGCGCCAAAACACTTAACCGACAAAACTTGTTTTCCGGTATAATAAATAAATTGATCGATTGAATAATATTGTTATTTTTTGGAATACCTTTTTGTCAAATACATTGCGTGGGCGCCCGTGTATTCTACCTCTAAAGGATGGAGTACTCGTGCAAATTGTCAGCTATTATACTCGATTATTCTGAAGCGATTACTATATTTGTTCGGGAACAAAACCATATAAGACCATTTCTCATATAAAGAATCCTTTCAATTTGATAAACGTAATGAGGAAAGGAGGAATTTAACAAATACTTAATTCAGTATTCATCATATTATCAGGGTTTAAGTCCATGCTTCCGAAAATTATTAATTGGCTGACTAATCCCATACCCGACCTGGATTGGTAATCTGACGAGAGGCCGTGGTTTGCCATATGATTAAGCTTACCTCTCTCCGGGATAAATATGTAAATCCTATTCTATATGAAGTAAGATGTCGACACGATTGATAGCAAGATTGGCAAACCATTTTCTGAATTTAAACAAAATTAATTCACATTTTATCAGACTACCAATATCCTCGATTTCAAGATTTTTCAGATCACATTTTAATGATGAACACAATAACGATAATAAAATTATACATCATACTAATTTATGGCAAAAAAGAAAATGATATGTATTCCTAACTAAATTACTTCTATGTGTACTTATCCCAAATAAGGATATTTTTAATAGCTATAAGTCAAAATGAATTATTAATTCTCAATTATTATTATTAATATTTATGGAATCAAGGATTAGAAAAATTATAAATTATTTGATAGAACTAAATTTTCTACAAA